TCAGCATGTGAAGGAGCTGGCAAAAACCTTCATGTATTTCCTGCTCCTGAGTCTTTCTCAGATTAATGGCAAGCCCTTCCAGAATCTGCACCAGTGTCGCTGACTTGGCACCAAGTGCCAGCATTGCAAAGGAAGCAGAGATGCTTATGGGCGAAAAGAAAATATTTTGATTTGTTGCTTCAGATGTGACCAGCTTGTAAAATGAAAATGCAAAGTCAGCATTGCTAGGAACTAGTTTGATGAAGGTTTTATTCTTAATTGGATAAACCCTTTCCCCTTGAAGACTGTGTTGTGGGTAATATGTCCCTTTAGGATCATCTTGCTCATTGGGGTGGTGAGGACGCTGACAGCTGGCAACAGTACGCAAAGCAGACAGCAATAAACACAGGGACAAGGTGGGCTTCATTTTCCTTTTAACTGTTTCTGGAAAAGAGAGAGAGACACGAAACATGGCATGGAAAATAATTTCTTTATGCTGTGCATTCCAGTCAAGCAAAATGAGGCTCCTGGAACCCACCCATTCTCCAGAATCCCATGCTTCTACACTTCACATTCCCGATGCATGCCAGTGATCCTCAAAAAAAAAAATGTTTATACAAATAGTGTGTGAGGAGACGAGTGCTCTCTCAATAGATGTCATTTTGATCATAATAACTTTATAACAATAGGGTAGGACTAAATTCTTTAAAATTTGCAAATAACTGGAGGCTTATGACCTTTTCCCCAGAGTAACAGGTAGAAGTTACTCTTTTGTACTCAGCACTGCAGGATGGCTACTGCAGCCCTGTTAGTCTTCCTCAACTCATCAAATAATTAGAGAGTTAAATCTGTTACACAAAAATCTGACATAAATACAGATCATACTGCTTAGAACTAAAATTACAAATAATTTTGCATTTTTTTCAAAAATAAACTTTGCTACCATAATGATTTGATATTTTATAGGAATTTATATTGTTTCCAAAACAAATCTCTAAATATCTCCTTCACTAGCAGCTGGTTCCTGATGGCTTTTGGTGTACTTAGATTTATTGCATAACAGGTATTTCCCTTTGTTTCCGGGCAATAAAAGACACTTTCCCAGGCAACAACATACTCCTTCCCAACAAAGAGTCCAAATAATTCAAGGGAAAGCTAAAAGGTTACTCACAATGTTACAGCCAGGATCTTGCTGTGTCCTTCTGGTCTTGTCTGCTCCTTTTGTTCAGTACCATTGAACAGGATTAAGCAGAACATTCCCGTTAATCATTAATTTGATCAAATAAAAATTGTCAGCAAGGGTGCACAGCAAGCAGTAATGACACTAGATATTCTGGACAGTTTGTCCAGCCTAGTGTTGTGATTGAATACAAGTTAACAGAGCTGGGTGGTAAGGCTGTGAATGAGAAGCTGTGGAGCAGAGACTGTATCTCCTATCGCTTCCACGCTTGTGAATTGACATGATAAACCATCCCATGGACAGGGAGGTGTTCAGCCATCTCCAGGACAGCAGGGCTCCATCACGAGTAGCAGTGACCTGGGAAGACAAACACTGTAACTCCAAGCGTCCTCTCCAGATCTATATGCTGAGCATGACTTCACATGGCATGGAATATCCCTTTGGCCAGCTGGGGTTAGGTCTCTTGGCTGTGTCCCCTCAAAGCTCCTTGTGCACCCCCAGGCTACCTGATGGTGGAGTTGTGCAAGATGCAGAAAAAACCTTGACTCTATGTAAGCATTGCTCAGCAGTAATGAAAACATCCCTAATCAACACTTTCCAGCACAAATCCAAAACATCACCCCATACTAACTACTATAGAGAAAATTAGCTCTACACCAGACAGAAACAGCACAAGAACCAATCTAGAAGATGCTTCTTGTACTCCATCAACTCTAGTCTTCATTTTAACTCACATTTCTCCATCAGGGAACTCAGATGTGCTCATTTCTTTATGCAGGTGTTCCTTCATCTGTCTTCAAGAAATTAATTTTTCATGTACAAATCTTGATAATTGAATTTTAAATATAAAAGTTGAGGGAAAGTGAACACAAGGTGTATTGTAAGTGGCCTTCCAGTATCTTAGGGGGGCCTACAAGAAAGCTGGGGAGGGACTTTTTAGGATCTCGAGTAACAACAGAACTAGAGGGAATGGGGCAAAGCTGGAAGTGGGCAGATTCAGGCTGGATGTGAGGAAGAAGTTCTTCCCCATGAGAGTGGTGAGACCCTGGAAGGGGTTGCCCAGGGAGGTGGTTGAGGCCCCATCCCTGGGGGTCTTTAAGGCCAGGCTGGATGAGGCTCTGGGCAGCCTGGTCTAGTGGGAGGTGTCCCTGCTCATGGCAGAGGGGTTGGAACTGGGTGACCCTTTTGGGCCCTTCCAACCCTGACAGATTCTGATCTGGTTTAGCAGAGGACTTTAGAGCCCTACTGGCCCAATGGTTGGACTTGATGATCTTGGAGGTCCCTTCCAACCTAAAGGATTCTATGATTCTATGATTCTAAAAGGGGTTTGTTATGTGGATGTGACCTGCTCATGTTTACTTTGTTACTTATTGCTGAACCATACACAGGAGAATGTCATCTGGCAGATGTTCCTACCAATTACAGTTTTCAAAATACAAATACAGTCTTCACTGTATTGGTGAAGAATTTCACAGCCTTCTCAGTAAAGACTGTTAATATAAATGAAAGTCTGTGCCAGGAGGAAGAACTAGAGTAATACAAAGCCAAGAGCAGTAGCAGTGACCAGGTCAACACACACATCTCTTTCTGCAAGCTCTCAAGCATCTGGCTCCTAAGTAGGAGCCCAAAGATGTGTCAGGTGTCAAAATGCCCCTTGTGAGGTGTTCAACACCTCTGAATGGGAGCACACTGGTGGTGAGCTGTGTTTAGGAATCTGAAGGCAATAGTGGAAAGGGAACTGCATTTACTTCTCCTCAATCTCAGATCAAGGCTCTTGTCCAATGGTTGCATTACATAGCTGCATAGCCAAGCAGCAAAACAAGGTGGGGGCACATAATTTTATTTTGGAACCTGGCAGCACTAGTCTTTTGCTACTAACTTTACGACTAGGCTACTTGATCACTTGATCTGGTTACAAGACCCTCAAGACTTACAAACTGTTCTACCTGAGACAATGAGACCCTAATCGTACACTTGGCTCATCTTCAGGATGCAGGACACTGATGAAAAAGTGAAGGGAAAGGCGATTCTCAGCCTTCCTTCTGAGGATCTTCTGCTTAAAAATGGTGTAAAATATAAAAATGATCTATGGGAAATGTGTAGATAATTGTGTGTGAATAATTGTTTTCATCTAGCTGTGAAAGACATGTAATATTTACTTACGCAAATACACACACCCCTATAGGTATTCATAGTACAGGAGAGTCATCAGCTCTCTGATGTGTTAATCTAATAATGCAAGCACCAGCCTGAGAGACAGGAAATTTAGGTTTCCCTCCAGGTCAGTTCAAGTACAAGAAATAAAGGCCCTAGGAATTGTTTTTGAATGTAATACCTGATCACACAAGATATGCAAGTGTTATTATTTCTAGTCATCTCAGTATTGTGTGAGTAGCTCTGCTAAAGATAATAATTATCTTTGCTAAATCAGAACCTGTGGCAATAATTAAAGCATTATAATTTGAATTGACAAAACTTGGAGAAATGCTATCTCATATTAATTGTGATATTATGATAACATAATAACATCAAAACACTCTTTAAGAACTTTGAAAAACTGCACACCTACTAGGTTTTATATGCAATCGTTTTGAATATTTTTTTTCCTAAAAGCTAGTGAAAATGAGATTTTTTTTTTCTGTCCTGATACGAAGACATGTAGAAACATTAAGCTTATTTACCAAGATTTTGTTGAAAAACCTGAAAATCACTATCAACTGTAAATGAAAGGGGGAAAAAAAATAGTATATTAAAAGTAAGGCAATGAATTAAATTGATTAGGCTGTAAATACCCAGGGTGAGAGACACTAACTCTTTCAAAGAATTTGTCATCAGAACAGAATATGCCATTAGTTATTACTATTTCATTATTTTATTTTTGCTAGATACAGACTCCTTCCAGCAAGCTGCAGTGAGGCCGAAGCTCCTGTCTTTACCACGTCTTGAAGTATTATGATGTATTCAGCTCCTCTATAGGCAAACTATTCTATCATCAACTTCAGTAACATCCCATAGCAAACTGGCCTGAAGTAATCAATGAGATTAAAAATCTGAGCCTATTCCTGTGTTCTGGTCTAATGTATATTAAGAATACAATATCAATGTATGGTACTGATTCATATCACAGATTAAATTTTCATAGTACAAACATTCACTAACTTTTTTTTTTTCTAAACTACACTCCTAGAAAACAAAACAAAACCAACCAAACAAAAAGCTCACACACACACACACAAAAAAAGACAAATCCACCCTGACTCAGAGGAAATAAGATGACTTTGATATAGACAAGACAAGGCAGAATATTTAACAAACTGTTCTGTGAGCAGTGGAGTTAATAAAGCCTAGTTTATAGAGTATCTACAGTTTTGCTCACCACAATAACCACAGCTTTTATCCAAAGCTGGCTGGGGATGGGGCTTGGGCTCCCTGCCATGCTCTCATTGCCTGCTGCAACCAGCAGAATTTAAAGTGGCTGACCCTGCCTTCCCCAAAGCAGGCACAAACTTGGATTTCACTGATTTTCAGAGTAGGGTAAGGGTTTTCAGTCTTCTGCCTCTCTGTTAAGTCTGACTGAAATTTGCCAATAAGCTGCAACATTATGGAGGCTAGTCAAGAGAAAGCAAGTGTTTACAAGCTGGTTGTTTTATTTCCTTTGCATTTGAGGTTATGAGAGTCACACTTCTCAGCTTTCACAGTCCATGTGACTCCATTTCTCACTAGCTATCATGAACATTCTCATCATCCTTATATTTACTAAAAAATAAATCAATTTGTTATATATTCTCTTTTAATAATGCCGTATCTCCATTTTTATCATCATTAGCTTTTCTATTACATTCTCTCCAGGAAGAGGTTGTTGACAGTCCAACACTTGGTGTAGTGAGAGGTTTGGCAGTACAAGCTGCATGAAGGATGGTTTAGTAAACACTAAAACTGTTCTATAGCATTTTATAACCAGACTGAATGTTCCAGCTCATCATATATTTCAGCTGAGATTGTGTCATTAATAGGTAATGTCGAAGGAAAGAACTTTAAAAATAAATTTTTGAATCTAAATTTGATATAAATTTCCTAAAATAAATTTTCTGAAATAAATTTCTAAATCTAATCTAAATTTCCTGAATCTAAACTTTAGTTATCAAATAAAACTGCCATGATAAAATTGGTTTGAGTGAATATTCAGTTAGAAAATCCAGCAAGTCTATGTAAAAGTGTGGGACTTTAAAGGCATTTATTTAGATGAG